GTTCAGGTGTTTGTGCACTTAGGGTTGTCTGCTAGCTCTCTTACATTTTCTTCATTTTGTTTTATTCTTTTTTCCTTTTTCTTTTTTTGTCCACCTGAGTTACTTCAAGAAGACTGTCTTCAAGATCAGAAATTATTTTGTCTGTTTGCTCTAATCTGCTGGCTATGCTCTTTGTTGTGTTTTTCATTTTGTTGAATGAATTCTTCAGTTCTAGGAGTTCTGCTACATTCTTTTTAAAGATATTAATCTCTTTGTAAATTTCCTCCTTCATATCCTGGGTATTTTTTCTCATTTCATTTGTTGTCTGAGTCTTCTCTTATCTCATTGAGTTTCTTTAACATTTTTGCTTGGAACTCCTTTACAGTCATTTCAGCACTTCCTGCTCTATGGTGTCTGGTATTTGAGAATTACTGTATTCCTTTGGCGGAGTCATATGTTCTTGTATTTTTTGTATTTCTAGTATCTCTACTTCAATGTCATCTGGTAGAGCAGTTGCTTCTTCTAATACTCCGGAGTGGGCTTTGAGGAAAATACTTCCTTCACTCTTTTCAGGCTCTGCTGGTGATCCTCTTTGTATCAATGCAGTCAGGTGGGTGGTGGGACACCTGCACTGTGTCAGTGAGAGACTGTGGTGGTGGCTGTGGTGGACCACCCACATGCAAGTGGTGTATGTGGTGTGTTCCTGACTTCTGTTGGGTGGAGAAGCCTGCTTGTGGCTCCTGCCTAGGTCCCCGGGCATGTTCCTGCCTTCAGTCATGTGGGGGAGGCTACCAGCAGCTCCTGCTTATGTCCGCAGGCATGCTTCTGCCTTCTGTTGGGCAGGGGAGAGTGCCCGTGGCTCTCTCCTAGATCCCTGGGTGTGCTTCTGCCTTCTGTTCATGGGAAGAGGTTGCCCATAGCCCCGTAATTTTTATATATTTTCACTTTCTTTTAGTTCAAAATACTTTCTAATTTCCCTTTTGATTTCTTCTTTAATCCATGTGTTATATAGAAATGTACATATGCTCCCAAATATTGGGGAATTTTCCAGATATCTTTCAGTAATTGATTTCTAGTTTAATTCTATTGTGGAAAGAGGATTGCTTTGTGGCCCAGAATTCTATCTTTGTCAATGTTCCATGTGTACTTTTGAAAAACAAGGCTTTTGATGTTGTTGTTGTTACTGTTGATTGCAATGCTCTTTAAATATCAATTAGGTTAGGTGACAGTAGTTCTAGCAATTACTGAGAGAGTGGTATCAGAACCTCTGATTTCTTTTTTTTGTCTTTTTTTTTTTTTTCCATGTCCGGCAACGGATCGCAACCCTCAGTGTCGCCCGTAGTTCTAGCAATTACTGAGAGAGTGGTATCAGAACCTCTGATTTCTTTTTTTTGTCTTTTTTCTTTTTTTTCCGTGTCCGGCAACGGATCGCAACCCTCAGTGTCGCCCCCGTACCGGACCTGGACCTGGACCG